ATCAGCCTGGCCAACATGGTGAAACCCCGTCTCTAATAAAATAACAAAAATACAAAAATTACCCGGGTATGGTGGCATGCACCTGTGGTCCCAGCTACTCTAGAGGCTGAGACAAAAGACTTGCCTGAACCTGGGAGGCGGAGGTTGCAGTGAGCCTTGACCTTGCCACTGCACTCAAGCCTGGACAACACAGCAGGATTCCGTCTCAAAAAAATCTTTTTTTTTTTTTAAATTCCTGAAGGACATAAGATAAGTCTGGAAGAAACGACAAGACACACCTTGTGTTTGGATAAGAAAATTAGACATTTTAAAGGTATCTATAATTCTTACATTTCAATCATTAAAACACTGTGGTGCTGGAACTGGAAAGGAGAAACTGATTGATGAAAAAGAATGAGGAGTCCTTGGCTGTCCCATATATACATACATCCGAGAACTCGGTATATGAAAAATTATGATTTTATGAATCAATGGGGTGACGTCTGACTATTAAGTAAATGACACTGGAATAACTATTTAGCTGATTGAAGGAAATTCCGTGACTATTTTGCTGCACATAGCAAAATAAATTTCAGGTGATTCAAAGCATAACAATTTGATCCAAATAATAAAGAAAATAAAATAATAAAGTGGGATAGATGAAACCACTAAAAACAGATTTCCCACCTGGGTTTTCTCATCTGAATCACACAACACAGAAAATGAACTGAGTGTCTAATTTCTAAAACATCTACCAGTTCTACGAAACAGGTACCATTCTAGATGTTTAAGACAGTTAATTCCTTACATACAATAGGTATAGGGAATTAGTGCTAATTCTCTCAGGAAACCTTCATTGAGAAAGGCTAAAAGATAAATCACTAACTGTCAAAAATAGTTGCAACATGTGGCCGGGCTCAGTGCTCATGCCTGTAGTTCCAGCACTTTGGGAGGCCAAGCCCGGTGGATTGCTTGAGCTCAGAAGTTTCAGACCAGCCTGGCCCACATAGTGAAACCCCATTTCTACTAAAAATACAAAATTAGTGGGGTATGATGGCATGCATCTGTAGCCCCAGCTACTAGGGAGATTGAAGCAGGAGAATCGCTTGAACCAAGGAGGCGGAGGTTGCAGTGAGCCAAGATGGTGCCACTGCACTTCAGCCTGGATGACAGAGCGAGACCATTGCCTAAAAAAAAAAAAAAAAAAAAAAAAAAAGGTTGCAACAGGTATGAATAGGAATTCATATCCCTAATCTACAGAGCTCTCAAATGCTAATAGAAAATGACTATATCAATATACAAATACGCAAATAACTCATAAGCAATACAGGAAAGAAAAAATGTAAATTGCCAATAAACATGAACTGTTTTAATTCTCTCTAGAAATTAATGAACATTTTAAAATAAACAACAAGAAGACATCACTCTCAGTTAACAAATTGTCAAAAATGGTACAGGTTAACAAGGACATGCTGAAACAAATACTCAGGTTCTTTTGGTGGAATTCAGACCAGTGTAATCTTTCTAGAAGGCAGTCTGGCCCAAGGACATAATTTGGTATGAGTGCAAAAGTGTAATACAGGGGTTGTGACTCCAGACTTTTAAAAAATATATATTTAAAAACTACACACAACTTGAGTATCCATCAATAAAGGCTTGTTTAAAGATTCTTCTATTGGCCAGGCGTGGTGGCTCACACCTGTACTCTCATCGCTTTGGGAGGCCGAGGCAGGTGGATCACCTGAGGTCAGGAGTTTGAGACCAGCTTGGCCAACACGGTCAAACTCTGTCTCTACTAAAAATACAAAAATTAGGTGAAGCTGGGCTCAGTGGCTCACGCCTGTCATCTCAGAACTTTCAGAGGCCTAGGTGGGCGGATCACCTGGGGTCACTAGTTTCAGATCAGCCTGACCAATATGGTGAAACTCCATATCTAATGTAATTTTTGTAAAAATACAAAAATTAACCGGGCATGGTGGCAGGCTCCCGTAGTCCCAGCTACTTATGAGGCTGAGACAGGAGAACCACTTGAACCAGGAGACAGAGGTTGCAGTGAGCCAAGATTGCACCACTGCACTCTAGCCTGGGTAACAGAACCAGACTTCATCTCAAAAAAACAAACAAACGAAAAAAAAAAAATTAGGTGGGCGTGGTGGTGCACACCTATAATCCCAGCTACTCAGTTGGCTGAGGCAGGAGAGTTGCTTGAACTCAGGAGGTGGAGGTTGCATTGAGCCGAGATCACGCCATTGCAGATCCTTCAAGCTGCCTCCCAGTTCCTTGTCCCCTACCCCTTGCCCTCCTTCTGCAGAAGGTAACCCTGCTGAGGGTTGGGGAGCCAGGCTGCAGGCACAGGGAAACTTCCTTCCCAGTAAATGGGTAGCAGGGATGGGACAGGAAAGAGGAGTTGAAGAGAGGAGAAGGATGCAAGGGGGAGGGAAAAGACCCAAGAATAAAAATCATATCTAGAGACACAAGAAGTAAATATTAAAAATTTAAAAATTGACCAGGCACAGTGACTCACGCCTGTAATACCAGCGCTTCATGAGGCCAAGGTGAGTGGATCACCTGAGGTCAGGCGTTCAAGGCCAGCCTAGCCAACAGGATGAAACCTTGTCTCTACTAAAATTACAAAAATTAGCCAGGCATGGTGGTGCACACCTATAATCCCAGCTACTTGGGAGGCTGGGGCAGAAGAATTGCTTGAACCCGGGAGGCAGAGATTGCAGTGACCTGAGATCTTGCCACTGCACTCCAGCCTGGGCGACAGAGTGAGACTCCATCTCAAAAATAAAAAGAAAAAATGTTAAAAATATTCTTCTGTGATCTTGCCAATAAGAGAGGTAAGCCTACATATAAATAAGTAAATAAGGAGTAAAATAAATGCATTATAAGCAATATGGTATAAAAATTGTGCCATGAACTAGGCTCCGTGGTGTTTCTTTTGAGAAGGCTCAGACCACGGCATTTCCAGACAAGGCAGGTCCCTTCCTGGGAATGACCCCTTATGAGCCTCAGATGGTTTGGTCTTAGAAATGTTTGCCCTAAATAAAATAGTTTCTTCTCTGTCAGAAACCACATATGTTAAAATGTGCCGCTGATTTAAAAAGTTAATCGAAGGCAGATGCTGAAGACTTCTATGGGCCAAACCAATCAAATCTTATTTACGTATTTTTTATAAGACATTGGAGAGCATTCCTTGATGTTCAGAGATTCCACAGGTTTGTTGGAAGTGGGACAGACTAGAGCTAAGGGAATCGATGCGGACAATAAGTCAGAAAACATAGAGCCAGAAAAAGCCAAGGGTCTGCTGGAATGGAAAGGAGGGGACACTCTCAAGAGATGAATAAACAAAAGTGAGTGAGTGTTTGTGATGGCGGGTGGGCAACGGGGAAGGGATGTATAGGTAGGCTCTAAGTCAAAAGCCTTCCTGAAATCAGCCAGAAAGAGCTGGGATGTTCTTCAATCATGATCTCAGTTAATGAAGGCCCAACATCCTAGCCCTTCAGTCATCTCTACTCACCAGCAACTGTCTCCGTCAATATCACCCTTCACCAGGCAGCTCCATGGAGACATCTTTCCCTGCCTCTTCCAGTAGCTCACCTCCCCAGATTTCCTCCATTAATCACTGCAGTGAGAATTCACCATGATCTCCCATTTTTAAAATTCCAATCACTGTGCTGACCCTCACCATACATCTCTTTCACCCATAGAAGAAAAGGAAGCCACCCCGTTTTCTTGTTTTTTCATGAGAGCCACAGGCTGGGGATCACCTTAGCAGTGCTTGTTTGACCTTAGTTCCAGGACTTGGATGGCTCAAGGCTGAGGAGGAGCATGGGAGGGGGTGGGGGACAGGGCGGATGGCCAGCAGGGGTTGGGTTCAAGGTAGGGTACCAGTCCTCAGACTGGTGTGGCAGAGCAAAGGTGCCTCCTGTGGAGGGCTGGGAGGGGAATGCGTGGCTGTAGGGGTGAGGGAAGCAGGTCACTGGTGGAGGTGGCGTTGTGTAGGAGTAGGGGCCAGCAGGGGACTCTGGCAAGAAGCCGGAGAAGGTGGCAGGAGACAGATGGGCCAGGGGCTGCAACAGTGAGCGCTCTTGCTTCCGTTGCTTAGCTCTGCGGTTCTGGAACCAGACCTGAAAGGGGAGAGCAAACACATCAGAGCCCACGCCTCAAACAGGTGGTGACAGACGCCCTGCTCCAATGACAAGAGGTGCAGGGACAGGGAGCAGGCCTCTCCAGGATGGCCAGAGGAAGCAAAGCCCTTCCACAAGGCCTGGCTGAGCCCGGTCTGCTGATTCAGGAACCCACAGACTTATCCCCAACCTGCGTCCAAATGTGCCCATTTCTACCATCTGGGCGAGTAAGAAATGTCAGCTTCCAACAAGGAGATGACTATGGTAACAATGATGTTTTCCTTCCCCAGAGAATGGGAAGTTTCCCCTAGGGTTAGGTTTAGCCATTAAGACTGTGGATAAATCTAATTATTATAGACAAGTTTGGATTTAGGGTAGGGTTTACCCTTACAGCTAACCAACTCTGTGGTTAGGATTGAGGGAGCATCGGGCCGGATGGGTTTCAAGGCTATGGTTAGGGACAAGGTTCCATATGTGTGAACAGTTAGGATTGAATTTCTGTTGGAATCGGCATCATTATTGTGGTTCTTTTTTTTTCTTTTGAGACGAAGTTTTGCTCTTGTCGCCCAGGCTGGAGTGCAGTGGCGTGATTTCGGCTCACTGAAATCGTGGCCTCCTGGGTTTAAGCAATTCTCCTGCCTCAGCCCCCAGAGTAGCTGGGGTTACAGGCACCCGCCACCATGCCCAGCTAATGCTTTTTGTATTTTTAGTAGAGATGGGATTTTTGCCATGTTGGCCAGGCTGGTCTCGAACTCCTGGCCTCAGGTGATCCACCCACCTTGGCCCCCCAAAGTGCTGGTATTACAGGCGTGAGCCACGTCACCCAGCTGGAATTGGCATCACTATTAAACATTGGGGGAAGGCGTTGAAATTCAAGTTAGATTAGCTTACAGCTAGGGTTAAACTCAAGGGATATTCTCAATGCAGATGCCCTGACGCTGGTGGTCAGATGAGGCCTGTGTTCTGGTGACCATTTAGCTTAGCGTTATAATGCCTAACATTCTATGATAGCACCAAAGAAATCTGCATTTCTTCCCCGAGGGAGGAGGCATCCTGAGCATCACCTGGATTCAGGCCTCACTGAGACCAGTGTCCCGGGCGAGACTCTCTCGGGCCCAGATGTCCGGGTACTGGTTCCTCCCAAAGGCTGACTCCAGCTGTTCCAGCTGCGCTGCGCTGAAGGTGGTGCGGTGGCGACGCTGGGAGTGCGGGCGGCCCCTCTGTCCTCCTTGCGGGGAGAACCTTGGTCTCCCGACTCCTGCACCGGGGCGCTTCCTGGAGGATGGAGCACTCGAGTCTGAGGAGGGAGAGAAGGGAGAAGCGGCTTCTGAGGAGGATGCTCCTCGGTGCTGGACCACACGCGCCGGTCCTGGATTCCGCTCAGTGCTTCCTGTGCAGCTCCACTCTTCATTTTCTCTTTCTTTGAGACTGAATCTCACTCTGTCATCCAGGCTTGAGTGCAGTGATGTGATCGCAGCTTATCGCAGCCTCAAACCCCTAGGCTCCAGTGATCCTACTGCCTTAGCCTCCCGAGCAGCTGGGACTACAGGTGTGCACCAACACACCTAAGCAATTAAAACAAATTTTTTAGAATGGGGTCTTGCTCTGTTGCCCAGGCTGGTCTCAAACTCCTGGCCTCAAAGCCCTCCCATGTCGGCCTCTTAAAGTGCTGGGATGAGAGGCCTGAACCACCACACCCAGCCCTGCCTCGCTTTCATTTGCCTTGCCCCACCAGGCATCTTTTAACTGCCATAGCCTGGTTCCTGCACCCTGCTCGGCCTTGGCCCTGGTTGCCTCTTAGTCCCTGACACCAGGCTGTGCTGTCTACATAGGGCACGCCCTCAGACTCATTCCTGGCCCCAGGGCCTCATGCCCTGTCTACCTGGCAACTCTGTCATCTGCCCAGTTCCTATGGCACCTCCAGACACATGCCCCGCCATGTGCATTCACCTGTCTGGGCACACACACGACCACCTGAGGCTCACTCTGCGGGTCTGCTGCCTGGACCTGCACCCAGCAACCATCCCAGCTGCTCACGGAAGACACCAGTGCCCGTCTCCTGCTGGCGAGGCTCATGTTCAACTTGTGCCTTCTTCAGACTGCTGCCATCCTCCTGCACCCCTCACCTGGGAAGATGAGCACCCCCTCTTCCGCCCAGACACACCCTCCCTACTTACTTTTCATCTTCTCCCTACCCCTGCCCTGGCCCAGCCACCAGGCAGCAGGAACCTGAGCTCGTGGGAAAGGCTTGCCTCTCCTCCCTGCAGGCTCCCTAAGCCCGCACACTAATTAGTCTGAGAGCGGCTGGGAGGAGAGAATAGGGAGGGAAAAGGACACACCTGGAGGGCGCACACCAAGAAAAGATGTCTGGAGCTGAGGCACTATCCCCATGGGGACCCAAGGGTGCGGCCCCTCCTAAAGCTCACTGTCCACCATGGGGACACACACACAGAGCCCGCTCTCCCTGGACCCAAAGCCCTGGCCCCTCCAGCTCCCTTCATCAGAGAAGGTAGTGCCCTGGACTAACGCACTCTGAGGTCAGGAGTGAGGGGACAGAGGCAGCTGTCTCACACCCCCACTGGGATGAGAGCTTTTCGGCCGCCCCTCCTGCCAGAGGCTCAGTTCCCCAGTCTATAAAGCCAAGGGGTGCTCTGGTCCCTTACTTTCAAAGGTTCCCACAGTTTTCTCATGCTAGATTCTGGGATTTTTTTTTTTTTTTTTTTTTTTTAGATGGAGTCTCGCTCTGTAGCTCAGGCTGTAGTGCAGTGGTGCGATCTTGGCTCACAGCAACCTCCACCTCCCGGGTCCTGGTTCAAGCAATTCTCCTACCTCAGCCTCCCAAGTAACTGGGATTACAAGCACGAGCCACCATACTCAGCTAATTTTTCAGTTTTTTAATAGAGACAGGGTTTCACAAGCACGAGCCACCATACTCAGCTAATTTTTCAGTTTTTTAATAGAGACAGGGTTTCACCATGTCTGGTCTTGAACTCTTGACCTTGTGATCCGCTCACCTCGACCGCCCAAAGCGCTGGGATTACAGGCGTGAGCCACCGTGCCTGGCCTAGATTCTGTTTCTAATTTCTCCTCCTAACCTTCTTCACGGAGCCTATGCTTTGAGCCTCATACCCGCTGCCTCTTCAGGGACCCATGCACACTGGGACAGTCACTCACCCACCATGGTGGTCAGGGTCCCAGAGGCCGGGTGTCTCTCCAGCAAGAGGCTGCTGCAGACTCGCCCCTTCTTCGGCTTCCCTGGCTGGCTCCTCCTTTCTGCTTCCATGGCTCACCGAGGGGACCAAGTGTCCCTGAATCTCTGACTCGAGATTTCTCTGTTTCCGCAGGTCCTCCCCACACCTGTTCTCTCCCCACTTCTCCCTCTGGGTATGCCACTCCCTGGGTCTCTGTTTCTGAATGTGTGTGTAGGTGCAGGTAGCTATCTCTGACTTTTTTACTGTCTCTGCTTTTTTTCTAATTATTTCCTAATTCCCCATTCCTTGGCTTGAGTGTCATCTCATTCTCCTGGCTCGGCCTCACTGGTTGCTCTGTGTCTGACTCTACTTTTCTCTGCCTGCCCCTTCTCTCCACCAGGATGCTGCTCTGTTCCCGTCAGCTGCCTATTTGCCCATACCACCCCTCAGTCTTGGAGGAGTGACCTCCTCCTCACCCCTGTGGGCCCATCCAATCACCACACGGTCACCAGAGCCCCCTTGCTCAGGGAGGATCACAAGCCGGATGAGGGAAGGTGCTCTGTCGGAGGGTCCAGGGACTGAGGCCAAGGGCTCGTATTCCCAGAGGACCGGATTCTTTTGTCCTGTTAAATCCCCTCCTGGGAGCAGGCAGGGAGAGGAGGAGAAAATGCATTCCTCCTGAGACCCCTCCTCAGAACCCCACTGTAGGGAGAGGAACAAAGAGTGGGGGAAGGGGACCCAGGATCGGGGCCTGCCTGGCATCTCAGCATGGGGTGACACCTAAGGACCTGTTTCCAGGAAATTAAGAAAGGAGAAGTCACAAGTGCATGCCGGCCCCTCTTAGATCCCCTGATAGTTTAGAATGCACCAGCCACCGTCAGGCCAACCTGAACCCACTCCGGAGAATGGACCTCCAGGACACCTCAGATCTCAAATACTCTCTGATTTCCCACCTCAAACACCACCTCCTCATTCACCCAGGACCCCCAGGACACCGTGACCTTTCAAGGTCACCCGGACCCTCTGAAAACCCTGACCTAAGGAACACCTGCATTCCAGATGCACCCTGATCCCCACCCCACCTCAGACTTCAGGACTCGGAAAGAGATTGAGATTCCCGTGACACACTACATTCTGATTCTTCAAGGAAATCCTGACACCAGGAATGCCTGAGCAGTCAGGATGGCCCAGTCCCATAGTCCTCTGCCCCTTGAGGTTACTTAGATCCAGGACACCCTGACCATTTAAGAACAGTGTGACAGCCCAGGACCTTAGGATCCCCCAGGACACACTGACACCCAAACACTTCACCTCTACTTCTCAGGCCACACTGACCTGATGAGGACACATGGACCCCTCTGGAACACACGGCGCCCACAGGACAGTCTGATTCCCACAGTCATGCCCACAGGTCCTTTAGAAACATCCTGATGATTCAAGACAGGAAATCATAATCCTTTAGGATCTCAGTGCTTACAGTGTTGTCCATGGATCAGCAGCAATGGGAGCATGTTGGAAATGCAGAACCCAGGGCGCCACCTCCGTCCTACTGAGTCACAGTCTGCACTGCAACAAGATCTCCAGGAGAACTGAGTATACGTGGATCTTAGTCAGCTGGGGCTGCCTTGACAAAATAGCATAGACTGTGTGGCTGAAACAGTAGACTTATTGCTCATGGTTCTGGAGGCTGGGAAGGGGTCGGCCTATTAGGCTCACCTACGAGGGCTCTCTTCCTGGCTTGCAGGTGGCTGCCTTCTCACTTGCCTTCACATGGTGGAGAAAGATCCAGCTCTGGTTTCTCTTCCTCTGCCTGTAAGGACACTAATCCCATCATGGGGTCTCACCCTCATGAACTCATCTAAACCTAATCACCTCCCCAAATCTGCACCTTCAAATACCATCACATTGGGTGTTAGGACTTCAACATGAATTTTGGAGGGACACAAACGTTCAGTCCATACCAACAGTGAAGTTGAGAAGCACTGCTCTAATACCAATCCTTCTCCTCCTACCCTAGGACACACTACGACCCCCTGGAGCACCCTGAACCCCACGGCAGTCCTAACCTAGAAAGACCCAGTGGCATGCAGTCAGCTCAGACTCACAAGAGAAAAATGAATTACAATGCGCCCTACTGCCTGGGAGTACCCATTCTGGCCCTGTCAGGTCCTTGAATCCCAAGAGCACTGAGAATGCATTCACTCTCCAGGATACACAGACCCTCCCAGGGGCACTGACCTCAGTACCTTATAATCAGCATGATAGCTTGGGCTCACATGGACTCCATGACCCTCTAAAACACCCAGACCACAAGGACTTGGTGAGATTTGGGAAACTCTAACCTTTTAAGGAATTCCTGACCTTACAGAATCTAGACAGTCAAGGGCATCTTGCCTTCCTGCCAATTCAGAGCCCCCAGTTTGCTTGAATCTTCCAAAGTGAATACTGACACTGAAAAACCACTCAGTGTGGTTTTTCCCAAGCCTGGAAATACCCTGACCACACTCACCTGACCCGCAGGACATGCTGACTAAGTAAAGATGTATCCTGGCCTATCAAAGCACTGTGACCATCCAACATGCCTTTGACACATGGGATGTCTTAACGCCAGCACTCTCCAACCTTCCAGTGTGCTCTGGACGTCTCAGCCCTAGAGCTGTCAGTAGGCACCCTAATCACTGTCACTCCCCGCCTTCCCAACCCGCAGACAGCCCAGCACAGCTTCAACTAGGACCCCCTGAATCCAACAGGCGATTATTCTAACCCTCAAGAAATTCTGTCCTCTCAAGTGTTCTATTCCCTGTAAGACACTCCGTAGAATACATATCCCCAGAACTGCCAGAACATGGTGACTTCCTGCATACTCTCACCCCCGCCTAGCACACTCTGCTCATCTAGAACCCCTTGATTTCCTGAAAATGTTCTGATTGTACAAGAATACCTTGACACTCTACTCCATGACAGGTCTATTCAAGTCTACCCAAACCTTCAAGGACCACCTGAGCTCCAGAAAACCTTGATCTCTCACATTCAGATACCAAAAGTATATGCCGACCTACCTGGAAATCTTCACAGCTCTGACTCCCAGAACGTCTAGGAGTCTCTGAATCACACAGCCAGACCAACCTTCAAAACACACATGCGAGCAGTGTGATCTTCCAGAACAGGCTGACCTCAAAGCCGGTGATGATGTGAGGATACTTCAAGTGTTCTGACATGATAACAATGCCTGTAGGCCCAGAACACCTGCCTCCCTTGCCGCCCTGCCTCTCCAATACCCCTGCCTTCCCAGGATTCTCCAAGTCGCCCAGACTCTCTGACTTTCACTGTTAAGATCTCATCTGATCCTATGTGGTTTCTTGGAATCCTCTAAACACCCTGTTCCCCAGGGTCCTCTGATCTTTTAGAATCCTACAAGGTGCCAGGCATGGTGGCTTATGCCTGTAATCCCAGCACTTTGGGAGGCTGAAGCAGGTGGATAACTTGAGGTGAGGAGTTCGAGACTAGCCTGGCCAACATGGTGAAACCCTGTCTACTAAAAATACAAAACAAAGTAGCCAGGCATGGTGGCACGTGCCTGCAGTCTCAGCTACTCAGGAAGCTGAGGCTGGAGAATCACTTGAACCTGGGAGGTGGAGGTTACAGTGAACCAAGATCATTCCACTGCACGCCAGCCTGGGTGACAGAGTGAGACTCTGTCTAAAAAAAAAAATGGATCCTACAAGGCAAACCCATAAGACACCACTCTGACCATACAAGGACCCCCTGAGTCTCCAGTGGATCAGGTCTCTATGAGGACACAGTGATTGCCCCGAATACCATAAATCCTAGCTGACTCTGAGCACATGAACACCCTACCTTCTAGGTTATTCGATCCTATAGGATCGTGTGTGTGTGTGTGTGTGTGTGTGTGTGTGTGTGTGTGTACACATATATATGTATATACTTTTTTTGAGACAAGGTCTTGCTCTGTCACCCAGGATGGAGTGCAGTGGTGTGGTCATAACACACTGCAGCCTCACACTCCTGGGCTCAAGTGATTCTTCCACCTCAGCATCCTTAATGGCTGGGACAACAGGTGCACACCACACCATCCAGCTAATCAGATGCAATCTCATTACAATGCCCATGATGCCCAGAGGAATAGCTTACTGTACCAAGTCACTCTGATTCCTAGAGCATTCTAGTCATCCAAAGTTACTTAGACCTTCCAGTGCCTCTGACACCTCAGGAAACTCCAACCCCATCAGGACACCATCCCTACCTAGTCAACTGTGATGCTGCAGAAAACTTTTTGAACAGGAAAGAAATTCTGTCCCTTAAGGACACTGATCCTAGAAGAACATCCTGCAAGTTGGGTTGTCTGAATTCAAATTCTAGAACCAGCCCTTACTTGCTGTGTGACCATGAACAAGTTATTTCATCACTTGAAGCCTCACCTTCCTCATTTGCAAAATGATCACAACACTAGAACTTTCCTTCTGTGTTCAGGCAGATACGAAGAATGCCTTATGAAGACGCTATCAAAGAAAGGAATTCAAGTTTTTGTTTAGCTCATCTGTTCATAAAAGAGAATGTAAAGACACTAGTGTATTGAATTAAGGAAATACATTAGATATATGAGTAGAATGAGGTCCTAGAAGTCAGATGTTAACCTTAGCAAAAAGAAGAGAATAGGCTCATATTAAGATAATTTATCACATCAACCAATTGAACAACCATATGATTAGTATTTGATGAAACTCAACATTTATTCAATTTTTTTGAGACAAAGTCTCATTCTGTCACCCAGGCTGGAATGCAGTGGTGTAGTCTCGGAATCACTGCAACCTCTGCCTCGAGGGTTCAAGTGATTCTCCTGCCTCAGCCTCCTGAGTAGCTGGGACCACAGGTGCCTGCCACCAGGCCCAGCTCATTTTTGTATTTTTAGTAGAGACAGGGTTTCACCATGTTGACCAGGTTGGTATCGAACTCTTGGCCTCAGGTAATCTGCCTGCCTCAGCCTCCTGAAGTGCTGGGATTACAGGCGTGAGCCACCACAGCTGGCCTAAACTATTTTTTGTGAGACAAAAGTCTCACTCTGTTGCCCAGCACGATCTCAGCTGACAGCAGCCTCTGCCTCCTGGGTTCAAGCAATTCTCATGCTTCAGCCTCCCCAGTAGCTGAGATTACAGGTGCGTGTCACCACTCCTGGCTAATTTTTGTGTTTTTGGTAGAGACAGGGCTTTGCCATGATGTCCAAGCTGGTCTCAAACTCTGGCCTTAAGTGACCCACCCACTTCAACCTCCCAAAGTGCTGGGATTACAGGTATGAGCCACTATGCCCAGCCTTATTCAAAATTTTTAAATGATATAGCTATTAGTAAAATATTTAATAAAGGCTATCCATTAAAACCTACAAGAT